TCCAAAATTGTCCTCTCTGCTGCTTTACCTCATCCTCTCTGCTGCTTTACCAACTAAGCTTATGTAATATTCTAGATCCTTTGTTATCATGTTAACAATATTCTAGCATCTTCACTGGAATAGACACATTCTCAAGAAACCAGTTTTCTTCATCCATAAGAATCAACTCTTCTTCTGAAAAAATTTGGACATTAGATTGCAGCAACTCAGTTGCATCTCTAGGCTTCGCGTCTGTTTTTTTCTCAGTATATTTAGAGTTGCTTCTTTCACCGAGGTCTTGAGCCCCTCAAAGTCAGCAAGGAAGGTTGGAGTCAACTTTTTCCAAACTCATGTTAATGTTGGTATTTTGACCTCTTCCCACAAGTTACGAATGTTCCAAATGTCATCTAAAATGGTGAATCCATTCTAAAAGGCTTTCAATTATCTCTATCCATATCCATTAGAAGAATCACTATCTGTGATAGCTATAGTCTTGCAAAATGTATTTTTTAAATAAGATTTGAAACTTTAAATTACTGATTGATCTACAAGCTATAGAAAGGGCATTTTATTATCAACCATTAAAGTCAAACAAACAAATTACATGAAAAAGGCAAAATTACTAGAAATTATATAATCTTCCCAAATATAGTCTTTTAAATGACCTGTCCATGTCAGTAGACAATCTGACCATTTCATCGGGGTTCAAACCAGGGATCAGAGTAATAAATTTTGCATGAGGCTACACAGCATATTCAGGTCTGGTCAGGAAAAGAACTCAGATCGGTTTCTTTCTGTCTCTCTATCTGTCTCTCTCTCCCTCACCCTCCACCCCCCACCCTTTCATTTTGATTCCTGAAAGCTTTCTGGGAGCCTCTGGCTCATGCCTAGAGTTCAACTTCTCCCAAACTAGAGCAGTGCTCAGGGAGTCCCCTCCCTCCTAGGCAGGTACAAATCCTTTGCCCTCCTCCACACCCTTCCTTCCCTGCCTCTGCAGGCCCAGCTCAGCAGGGGGTGCAATTACCATCTGTGTCACTGGCATCTTTACAGAGGCATATTTAAGTCACTGCAGCACTCACAGGAGAAAGCAAGTAAATACACAGCCCAGCGAGGTGCTGAAGCCAGCACGGAGCAGACCTCAAAGGTTCACACCACCACGGAAAAGAAAAGCAAAGGATGATAGAAGAGAGAACATTCTCCTTCTGCTGCACACATATGATGCCTGAGAGTTTAGACAGCTTTCACAGGCTACTCTGCCTGGCCAAGTCCATGTCACGTTGGAGACCAGGGTGGTAGTGGGGCAGCAGTCCAGAGGTGTGCAGTTAAAGGCAAAGGATGTGCAGATGCAGGTGGTCCCATGCAGTGATGGCCACTTGCATCCTCATCCAATCTCTGGTAAGTGGATGAGGTGAACAGTACCAGTCTCTGTCTCTCTCTGTCTCTGTGTCTGATTTTCCCTGTCTCTGTCTCTCTGTCTCTCCATTTCTGTCTGTCTGTGTGTCTGTCTCTCTGTCTCTCTCTGTCTCCCCGGAGGCCAGTACAATCTGATGAGCAATCATAACATGGCTGGCTACAAATAGAGATCAGTTTGTCACAAGAGCAAGAGCAAGCAATCTCTTGAGCTCTTGAGGAAAAAAAATGTGGCATCCATTGGCAACTTACTCAAATTCACTAAAAACATGTCATTGTAGGCATACTGCATCTTAAAAATCAATTGTTTCTTTAATAAATATTTAGTGAGCATGTCTATGTGCCAAGAATTAACCTAGCACTAATAAACTGTATAGCTGTTTCTGAAACAGAAATTTCCCTGGCTTTGGTAGACATTCGAATTCTAGCTGTGGGGTCTTTGAGGATTAAGAAGACCAGGAATAAGCTGGTAAATATACAAGTGATAATGGGGTGATGAGTGTTAGGAGAACTGGAAACTGAAAAGTGGGTTATGCATTTTAGTGGAACTGGATCAGATCTCTCTCGGGAGGTATCATTTAGAGGAAGAGACAGTACTACGAACCCAGTGGGCCAGTAACATGGCATGCATGGCGCTTCTGTGTTCTATCAAAGTTTTGGTGAAAAAAGTATATCTAATATTTAATAAACTGTGCTATGCACTTATTTGGTGGAAGATGCTGTTTTAGTCACACATTTTTCAATCATGACTTGGGAACTGTTTTCTGGTCCAGGTCTCCACAGCAGAGACCTCTTGAGGACACCACCGCTTCCTATCAGAGTCAGCTGTGTTCATGGCAAAAATCTAATACACTATGCTGTCTTGCTCAGTGACAAAATGAAAGGATGGCCTCAAGGGAAGAAAGAAAGGAGGAGGAAGAGAAACCAGCAGGTGACAGATAGTAGTTGGAGGCAGTGTATGTAGGTGGGATCCAATAATTAAGGTCCTCAAAGACAGCAGCAGATGTAGGCAAGAATCAAACAGAGAGATGGGAAGAAATGAGATCAGACTGATTGATTCTCAGTCCCAGGGATAAGGAGAAGCAGGAGGGAACGCATTATTCAGCAGGAACTCTGAGCATCATGTGGAACCACTGCTGAACCCTCTGTGGCACTAGGCTCTTTCCACAGCTGCTTTTGGGAGTGGACCAAAGGGGTATACGGATGACTAGCAATGTTTCCAGCTGTATAGAAAGACCTCAGTGCAGGGAGTTGGTGTTTGTTGGGAGAAACTGCTATCAGACCTACTCCACATGGCTCCTTACACCCTCTTATTTGTCACCAGTGCAAGGAAGGAGGATTTTGTGCCAATGCTGAAATACTCCTGGCCATTTGGACAACCAAGCTCCCTTTATAAAGCCCTACTTGATGACTCCATGAGTCCTATGATGGCCTTTCTCAGCTTCCCTCCCCAGAATCAGCAGATGTGCCTATTTTCCCTGCAGAGACCAGAAGTTCAGGTAAAGCGAGACATTGGGCTCCCCTCAATGCTCCTCTCCTTCCTTGATAGCATACAGACTCCCCAGCTTGCATCCTCTGTCTCACACGGCATCCCTTCAAAGTTGCCTCTTCTTCCAAGTGGCAGCTGAACGACAGTGCTAGACTCCCTCAGGAGCTGGACTTGAGCTCACCTAGGAGCTTGCCTGCGATTATCCACTTCTTGAATCCAAGAGCTTCATCATGAGCTCAGAAAGGCAGCTTACTGTGACTTTTAAGTGGGATGATGGGTACCAGAGGGCCAGGGTCGGGTGACCACTTGGGCAGAAGAACTATGCTCAGGATTCTATCATATCCTGATTTCATCTCTTGAAATTCTTGATAATTTTTGACATAGATTTCAACGTTTCCTGTTGCATTCAGTTCTGCAAAGTAGGCAGCTGGTCCTGGAGAAGGCTGTAAGAACCAAAGAGCACTATAAAGGTGCACAGTGGGATCTCCTTACTGATAACACAAGTGCTCGCTGCACAGCGCACGGGTAGAGGAGGGCTGTTGCACAAGCCTGAAATGTTGGGATCACTCAGAACTGGCCTCTCATTCCCTGGCTCCTTACCCAGGGATCAACTTTCACTTCCATGCCATGGACTCTGTTCCAATTCTGGACCTCACTTGCCTAGCTAGCTGTGCAGACTTCAAGGAGTCCCTTCTCCTCTGGGTGGCCTCGACTGACCTGCCTGAAGCCTGCTAGGACCAGTCTCCACACAATCTTCTCCTGCTGCCCTGCACCTGTTGAAATGCAGCTAGCTCTTCAGCCTGGCCAAGCAGCTCTGCCCCTAGCGGGAGTCAGAGGCATGCAGCTCCCTTTCAAGAAGACTGGGTTAGAGTCATTGCCTCCTGTGCCTGCCGCCTCTACTGTCCTCAGCCCCTGGAAGCATCTTGATGAGGGAGGACTGGGTGTTAGGGGCACCTGGCAGGGCAGGGAGGATGCTGTGACTTGAGAGCTTCTGAAGAGCAGGTGTGCCTATTCCTTAGTGAGGGGAAGTCCTTAAGATTAGATCCAACCTTTATTTAAGGGGGGTGTGCATCTGTGTGTGTGCACACGCGCATGTGTGTGGCCTGCCAGTGAGGCGACGCCAAGTGTCTCCCTCTATACAAGGGTGTCTGTTAATGGACTCCATCTGTGCGTGGCACCATTTCTGTGGGTAACCCAAGGAGGGATCTGTCACAGTGTGTCGGCACAGAGCAGTGTGATGAGCTGCTGGTGGAGCCTCAGGTGTGTAGGGAGACAGTGTCGGGTATTGTGGGATTGTGGCTCTGTGTGGGACTGTCTCAGATATCGTGTGTGTACTCGGGTGCGATTGCTTCTGAGTGTGTGTGTGTATGTGTGTGTGTGTGTGTGGGCGTGTGGCAAAGTCTATACAGTATGTGTCTGTGCCAAAAATCTAGTTGTCGGTCTCTAGCTGTGCATGAGATGGTGACCCACTGCGTGCCTGGCTCCTTAATTTCTTATCACAGTGCTACAAAGTACACGGGGTGTGTATGTGCCCGTGTGCGTGGGCGCCCTGGCCTGTCACACTGACCCAGTCTGCTGCTGCGAGTGGGCCGAGAGTGTGTGTGTGTGGGGGGGGGGTGAGTGTGTGTCTGTGAAGTGGTGATTCGGTGTGTATTTGTAGCAGACGGAGCGTCAGTCTGTGTTTGCGTCTGAGTGAGCCCCGCTGCAAGCCCCTCTCTCCAGTGCCCACGCGGGCAGGGTGATAAGCGCCACAGTGCGTGCCTGAAAGGCAGCGAGGCTCCAGTGCAAGGCTGTGGCAGAGACAGAGCCAGCGTCTGGGCTTGGCGGCTCAGCGTGTGGCCGGCTGCGGGCGCAGGTCTCCAGTCCCGTCAGAGTGCGGCTCTCAGCGCCAAGCGCGGACCCCTCCCTCCTTCCAGGGGAGCGGCGGGCGAGCGCACCGGCGCCGCTAGGACCCGGCGGCGGCCGGCCGCTGTCCCCGGGCCGCGCGAGTGAGCATGTGCAGAGCCGAGCGCCCGCCAGCCCGCTGCCCGCTGCCCGCTCCGCGCCGCCCGCCAGCTCCGCGCCCGCCCGCCCGCACTCTGCGCCCGCCCCGCCGCCTGGGCTTCGCGCGAGGAAAGCGGCCCCGGGAGCCTTAGGAGTCCGTGGGCTCGCGACGGGCGCTGGTGGCGCCCGGGCTGCGGGCACTGCAGGGCTGCAGGCTCGGCGCCCCGGGAGGCGGGCGTGTGGCCGCCGGTGTGGGCGCCCAGCTGGCCGCGATCACTGGGTGAGTCCTGTCTCCTGGGTGCCCTGGCCGGGACCCCTCCTGCGTGCCGCGAGCTGGATTCCCTCTGATGCGGGCAAACAAGTTTGTGCAGACGCGGCTGGGAGCGCGGCAAGGCTGCACCTGCTCGGGCTTCGGGCTGGCGCGTTGGGGGCGCCCTAGCGGGGTTGGGGCCGCACTGCCGGGGAAGCGGGTGTTAGCCGTGCGCGTCAGGGGAGCGCTTCGCAACAATCGGGCGGGTGGGGGTACGCTGGGCAGCTGCACAAGCCTGGCTCCGCCACCAGCAGTCCCAGCCAGGTCTGTTTCGCTGGAGGGCGCCTCAGAAGGAGCTCCGTGGGGCCGGAGCAGGGTCTGGGGTGCGCACTGCCTCCCTCCTAGGCGGAGACGTTCACCATCCGCAGCTCCTCGTTCCGCTACCCAGCCAGGCTTCCGGTCAGCGGAGGGTTTCTTCCATCTCTTGGTGAACTTGAGCAGAGGTAGAGGCAAAATCCAAACGTATGTGTCATGTTCGGAAAATTACCCACTATAGAGCTTTGTGTCTTCCTAGGTGTGCACAGAGACTCACAACTGGGTGCTCTCACGAGTTTTCCTCTGATCCTCAGAAGGGTCGCTGGTAGAGTCCCCCACCCCCGAGAGCCTCCCTGACTGTCTCCTGAGCATCTGTGCATCACGGGTGATGCCTGCCCAGCGCTGCCTCTCCCGTGGGGACGTGGGGACAAGGAGAGGGACCTCTGTCCCTTCTACCGACCCGTTCAGGGCTGACATGGAGGTTGCAGCGCCGCAGCCCTTCCCTGGGATCCAGCCCCATGGCCGCTGCTCCAGGATACGGACACCTCTTCCCTCTCACTGCTGAGTGCGGAAGGCACTTGCACTGTCCCACGTTAGCAGCAGTGCTTGGCATGAGAAGCGAGAACCTTTTCTTTGAATCACTGGTTTATCAGGCGCAAGGCTGGCGGGGAATGAAAGAATTAGAGGCCTCCAAGGGCAGCACCTCCCTTCCACCCAGGGGGGTTTTCCTGCATGTAGGAACAGGTTAATTTCTCCCAAACATGCCCCCTACACACACATACACACACACACACACACACACACACACACAGGCCCTCAGAAGTCCCCTGAAGAGGGAGTTTCAGGGAAAGTGGTCAGAGTCCAAAGTTTCTAGGGGAAGAGCAAGACTCATCCCAGGGACCCACTGGCTGTTTACCTGGTGCTCCCCACTCCCCAAGCCAGTGACCCTTACCTGCAACTTCATCTTCTAGGCCTCAGCAGGTTTGTTCTCACGGTTCCTCTGGAAAGGGTGAGGGATGTATCTCTCTTCTCAGTGAGCACCGCATGCCTTGTAGCATATGTAGTCAAAGTGAAGAGAAGCCTGAACTAAGCAGAAGGCCAGATTCCTGTCCCTTCCTCTGCTGGCTCACCAGATAGAGGAGGAGAGTCTGGGCCTGCTGCTAAGCCTGTGCCTCCAGCCTGGCCAGTTCAGCATGAGATCTTCAGACCAAGTCAGTGACTCACAGAGGTGGTTCCCTGTAGTCAGTGCATGCAAGCAGGTAGCTCAGACTCTCCAAACCCAGAACCTCCAGGCCCAAGTCAGATCATCTCTGAGCACACTGTTTCACTCTGGGGACACTCACAGCTGGTATTCTCATCAGCTCATAACCTGGCCAGTCTCAGTAAGACAAGTTCTCTGCTGCTTAGTGAGGTCAAGGCCAAGGACTTCAAGATTTGGGAAGCTCTGTGTTTAGACCTTCAGTGTCTTTACCCAGGAGAGTGATAATGATATATACCACCAGGGACAGCACTGAGCCCCAATATCTGGGGTTCGCTGGACTGGAACCTGCCCTCCTCCTCTAGGGAACCAGAAGGGTGAAAAAGCCCCTCCACTGATTTTTCCCTGTGCCTCTGGTCTTGCTTCCAGCTGTTGGATGCAATGTCTCCTCGTCTTGGTTTTATATCACCGTGTTGACCTGTGCTCTGAACAGTTATCACAAGTGTTCCACTTCAGGGGAATGTGGTTGGGGAGAATACATACTTATGTACCCCCTACCTCCTGGTGTGGACTTGAGAAATGGGTAGAAGGATGGAATGGATTAATTCTGTAATATAAAGACCTCTTGGTGTATGCTAAAGCCCTTCCCTTCCCACATTTCCCGAAACTCCTGGAGATGTTAGCCCACTCCCAGAGGGCGGCTGCATTCACAATGGGACCACTGGGTTTCTGAGGATGGAAATGCTCATGGAGTATCTTGGTCCACTTCCATAGCTTGCGTCCCCACCCCAGGAGCAGACATCAGGCTGGAGAACAGGGCTGATGGCAGGGTGCTCCACTCACTAGCTCAGATTTACCCACGTTCCTCAGTGGAGTTTGAACACCTCTTCACTTGTCACACTTTAAGCTGAGCTCCAGGTAGTATTCAAAACTTCTCCACCAGGTGGAGGAAACAGGAACAAATTAGGGTTAGTGATCAGTTAGAGATAGCCCAGAAGAGTGTGTGGTTGGCTATGTAACGTGGGATGGGCTCCCAATCAATCAAAAGGAAAACTCTAGTCCCACATGGGGCTCTGTCCCTCTTTGAAGGCCCAGCCCCTGGCACAGTGCTTGGAAGATCACCATTTGATGAACGGTGTGAAACAAAGGCTGTGTGGGATGGCAGATGACACTGCACACTTGGAACCAGGAAACTTGAGTTCAGTCTAGCAGTAGTTGTTTTCTTTTGCTCAAGACCTTGGTCCTCTCCCTGGCTCACACTCTGTATCTATGTAATGGGGATAGCAGTTCGTAATGTAACAGCTTTCTAAGTTTGTGGGAAGACCATTCATTCACTTGTTCATCTGCTCATTCAGCCAACACACTTAATAGTATGTAAAAGTACTTTGCGTTCTCAAATGTGGCATATAAAATTTATTATCATATGAACTTTAGCCATAGGTTTACTAAAAGACTTTTCCCCATTTGCAGTGAATGGAGCTTTGACGTTTCCAATTGTTTGTATTTTTTTCTTGTCTATGATGCACAAACTGAGGTTGTATTCATGAATGAGAGATGTTTGAGGTAGGTGTGCAATGAGGGATGATCTAAACTAGTTAACTATTATATTTCGTATCTTTTGCACAACATATTTTGAATCTTTTAAGCCTCAAAACTTAAGTGATAGAGATCTGCCTCTTCAAAGACAGGGACTGCACCCATCCCTAGGCCCCAGCCTCTATACCTGCCAAGAGCAGTAGGTTTGTGTTTAGTGGATTTGTTTTGTGTTTCATGGGTTTCTTGCTCCCTGTCTGCAGCCCTCAGTGCCTTGGGGCCCGTAGTCTTGGAGTAAACACGGCAGTCTCAGTACTGACTGCGCTTGCAAGGGGATCACACACTGGGAGAGGACTTAGGGACATGAGCAGGCAGCCTGACTCAAGGAACAACATAAAACCTAGGCACGGCCATCGCCACAGCAGCAGTAGCCTTCCCTGTCAGCACTGACAGCTCTGCTCCAGGCCTCAAGGGAACATCGTAAACGTGGCCTTGAAGTTAAGTCTTGGTGGGCTGGAAGTATTCCAGAGTGGTGAGCTGGGGTATAGGTACCCCTCACTGACATAAAGGCATGCATGAACTGGAGGGGCTTGGGGGCTTTAAGCATCTCAAGCCGGCCAGGGACATTGGGTTAACACACAGTGCCTGAGCCTGAGAAGGGTTAGAGGCAGAGGTCAGAGAGGGGAAAGACCAGGGAGTGGTCATCCAGCTGGAGGCTCTCATGTATGGCTTCACTGTGGTTCCATTTGGTGGTCACTGAGGCTGGGCTCTGAGCTTCTGGAGCATGGGTGTCCATTTGCTTGTCTGGAAAGCAACCAGCTGGGCCCCATTCTTGCTCTGTTCAGAGTGTCCAACTCTGAGTTAAGAGAGGTTCCTAGCCTTTGCTGCAGTGGCTGCAGTGGCCAGATTCCTTCTCTCTCCACACTCCTGCTCTCTGCAAGGCAACAGAAGGGAGCTGACATCACACAACTGAACCCCAGATCTTATTGGTCACCTGGGCCAGTTCCAGGACTGCCTCTTTCCCTACTGCCACCCTTCAGGCTCTGTCCCAGCTTGACTGGGAGGCAGGTGCCATTCGCCCCTTCTTCCTCTCTCTGGGGCTCAGGTTCACTGAGTCCTACGTACTGTAGGGTCTTGCTCCCCCTTTGACACTTGTAGAAGCCACTCTTTGATTATTCTCCTCTCTCTCCCAAGAGAGAGCTCTAAGTCCCTCTACTCAGGCCTCACTTTGCTCTAGAATAACTCTAAGGCCTCAGGAAGGCAGTGACCAGGGTGGTGGATAGACACTTTTACCTAACTCACATGCCCCCTTTTCACAGGGCTTCGCCTCATGCAGGGGTGCAGTGGATCCACTAACCTCCCCCCAAAGCACCTTGCATGGCTCTGAGACAGGAGGTATACCTGGCAAGAACCCCTAGAGAAGGCTTCACCTTGGGGAAGAACACAGAGACTTCTGGGGGTGGGGGACACTCAAACTGCTTCCCACTGGCCCTGGGAGGCTGGGACATTTACCCACATGGTAGCATCCGGAAGGTTTGACTCAGCAGGCACTATGTGTAACATCTTCTCCAGGAGCTCCAGCCTGGCATGAGTTCAAAAAGCTGCTGAGAGAAGCACACAAAACTCCTTTCAAGAATAAATCTTGCTTCATGCAAAGCTGGGGTTGGGATAGGGAGAGACACAGGAAGTTCTATAGGTGCAAGGAGGAATCTGGGAGCAGATGGCTGGGCCTTACTACTGGCCTTGGTAGTCTAATCTGGGGCACTGAGTGTCTCTACCTAAAGTTAGGGATGGACTTCAGCTCTTAAGCATAAGGAAGCAGGGCTTCTGCTGTGTGGAGTGAAAGAGATGGTGCCAGGGAAGTATGCAGTCTGTCTAACCTGCTTCCTAATACTGCAAAGACTCTACTATGTGGTGACACTGAGAAAAGCAGCAGTGGTTACCAGCATCTCAACAGGCATCAGCTCCAAGCAAGAGTGTGTCCATCCTGGGGTTGGGGCTCACATGGAGGTCAGAGGCCATTGAGACTGATTTCATTAGTGCCACTGCTGCTCTAAGGCTGTCCTCCAGTTGGTACTTATCCACCTATTTTGCACTTATAACCAGTATGTGCCACAGTAGGTAACAGAAGTGTCAGGTCTACTCCCTGGTTTCATCCCACGGTAATGTTTGCTTACACCTATTTAACAGATGAGGAGCCTAGGGCTCTGTGCTGGACAGTTGTTTTCCTGAGCGAGAGTGCTGTAATGGAGTGTTTGCTGGGTTTGGGATACAGTGGGAACTGCCCATGACCTTCTAGTGGGCGCTGGCTAGATCCTTGTCCAGTTTTCAGCTGGTTCTAGCTAATCTTGTAACTTGGCTGTTAACCCTCCTGCAGGTGTTCAAGTCCCCCCCACTGCTACTTCATTCAACCACTCAAAAAACATGTCTGACCACTTCCCTTCTATCTGTGTATTGAGATCTGTGGACATGGAGATAAACCAAGTGTAATCTGTGCCTTGGAGAGGCTATAATACCAGCCTTACAGAGTGGTGACCATGGCAGAGAACGGAGAACAATTTGCAAATAGGAATTTAGCAGTAAAGTGCTATGGAAGTCCAGGACAAGGGAGTGAATTCCTCATGCTTTGAGCATACAGATCCCCCTGCCTATCCTGGCTAGTGTTCTGGCATGGAGACAGCTTGCCATTCTGAAAGTGGGAGAAGACAGTCTGCCCTATAGGACACCTGGGCCACAGGACTCTATTTTAAAAGTGATACTGACCTCACAGTGCTTAGCACACCTTGCCTTTGGAAGGCGCAGCGCCAGGAAGGACTGGGGAGGCACCTGAGAAGCCTGAGTGGGACCCACTCCCGATGGACCAGCCCCAACGCCCCACCCTACCACGCCTTGATCTGACTTGTATCAAGCATTCAAACCTGAGTTTTAGACTATATATGAGTATTACACCAATCTTGCCTTTAAATTTCATAACTGTGGGGTCATACCCTTGTACTCCAGCTCAGTAGAAACTTTTTCCTAGTGGGCCACCTTTCACTTTTCATTTTAGTTTCCTTAGATCTTTCAGTGATACAGTTCCAACATTTTTTAGCTAGAACCTTTTTGTAAACACACCTGGAAAGCCCTCTTCCGGTACTTCCTGGATTGATCAGATTCCACGTAAAGCACACACAATGCCCTGTCCCTGAGAGATGCCAACCCTGGAGCTGCATCCTTTGGTTACATTCACCGTCCTTCTTCCCCACATCTCAGGCTTCACCCCAGTGCTGGGTGAGGGGCATGGGAGATCTGACCCTCTAAGTACAGGTTTCTGATTATCAGGACCTGTTTGTTTGTTTTTCTGTGCTCTCACTAATTTGAAAAACTGCATTCGCAAAGTTCACTGAGCAGCCGCACCCACAATGCCTCAGGCTGGGGGCCAGAGGGACAAACATGAACTGGGGATGGCTTCTCCCCTGGAGGTGACCAGAGTCCTCAGGATGCTTGAGGAGGACAGTGCTAATCATTCTACCATGGTGTGTGCGAGGATAGGGGTCAGCACAAGCTACAGGGTGACCAAGGAATCGATGCCCATGCACGGGTGGGCAGAGGGGATTCTCCTCTGGTGAGGGTGGTGAAGAAACTGACACCTGGGATGAGCCTTAGGGATGCACAGAAATTGGCCAGGTGAGGAGAGGAAGAGCAGTAAAGGCAGCAGGTATGAAGGCACAGATGCTGTGATTGTAGGTGTCTGTGTTGGAACACAGTGGTAGAGGTACAGCAGAAAGGGCATTAAAAGCTCTGACTGGCCAGACCAGATCACAAAAGGGGCCCTGTACATCCAGCTAAGGAGCTTGGAGTTTATCCCCAAAGCCCCAGGGCCCCATTGAAAGGGGTTTTAAGCAGGGGAGCACCATGAGCAGATTTGCACGTTAGGCGGATCACCCTTGCAGCCTTGTGGAAGATGAATTCGCGGGGCCAAAGCTGGAGGCCGAGAGATCAGTCAGGATTTCCTAGGATTTTCTCCATGGTTTTATAAATCTGAGGCCCTCTGGGTAGGCCCAGTGGATACATCACTTAGAGAAAAGAAAGGCGCTTAGAGCCTTCTCAGATAGCACCCCACTTCTGATTAATTCTGCCTCCATTTGCTGATTGCCAGGCCCAAGCCACCCGTGCTCCCATGTCTCTGCCTTTCTGGAGCCCGGGAACCTGGATGCCCTCAGCGCTTACTCAGAAAAGGTCACACTGGTCCAGGATGCGCCTCTGAGAGCCTAGAATGGCGGCCCCAGAGCCCCAACGTTGTCATCCTTCTCCCCCTGTCCATCAGTCTCCAGGGGCACACAGAGCAACCATTGAATGGCTGCGTGGGCCTGGCAAGAGTCCCAGGCCACATTAGTCACGGGCAGTGGCTTAGTCACGCTTCTGGGGCCCTTTCTTCCAGGACAAGCCTGCCCTTTGTGTGGAGGGCCTTCCTCACATGGCAGCCCAGCTCGCGGCAGCTGCAGAGCCCTCTGCCAACCCTAACAACACACTTCAGAGGCTCCGCCAGTGGAAATCAGAGCCCGACTCAACCCCTGCTTCCTGAGGAGCAGGGAAACATGGGGGTGGGAGTGCTGCTCACAAAGCTTTCAGTCCTCTCTACAGCAGGTGCCACAACCTCGGTGCTAACCTTGTCCTGCCCTTGGGCTTCGGCAGGGAAGTACCGAAGCCTACTCTACCTCTTAGGCCCCTTCTTGTGAGAGCCAGCTGCCAACCTCCACAAAATCTCCTTCCAGGACACAGCTTGCAGTCCCAATGCACACCGTGGAGTCAACTTGGTGCATGCATGTATCCAGCACCTACTGTATACACAGCCTAGCCTAAGTGCATTTATACATGCTGGTGTCTCATTACAGATTGGTTTTTTTCATGAAGATGGAGTCTGAATAGAGAGTGTTCAACACCTTGGTTCTTCTTGTTTCTCAAAATTACTTTGTCTCCACTTGCTAATTTTCAAATCTGCAAATTGGTAATATTTCAGTATCAGCTGCACTGCGTTGGTTAAATGCAGTTGTGTGTAACACAGAAAGCTGAGTGTCTAGGACTCAGGAAAGGACTGAGTAAGAAGCTGCCCTTGCTTTTCTTACGTTTGTTGCTGTTGCTATTATCTCAAGGCTTTCAGAACTACTCAAGAGCAGTGTGTTAGGTCCACTTTATAGATGAAGAAGCTGAGACCCAGAGAAGGAAAGCAATCTGTCACAAAACTGGCCAGCGGCACAGCTGGGATCTGAACCCAGTCCTGGGCCCAGGGCTCCTGTAACACAGCGGCTGCTTCAATGAATCAGCCGTGCGGCAATGAGGGGAGGGAGCAGACTCTTCGATCTAAGTCCTCTTCCCCTGTTTGTCCAGGTTTCCAAGCCAGAAGATGAGAAGCAGCAGAAGTCAGGGATGGGAAAGCCCGTGACTCCTGAGCAGAAGCTGCTGCTGCTGCAGGGCCTCGTGGCTGCTGGTCAGAAGTGATGGTGCCTTCTGCACACCTACAGGACATGGTGCTGTAACGGTAGCCTGAGGGAGCCCAGTCAGGTGCCAAGAGCCAGGATGCAAGGATGACACCCCTGGAGGCCCTGGCCTCCCTCCTTCCCGGGTGCTAGGAGCCATCCCCAGGCTCCAGCCGGGAGCCCTGCTGCCCAGGGGCATGGCCAAACCTTTCTTCCGACTCCAGAAGTTTCTCCGCAGAACACAGTTCCTGCTGCTCTTCCTCACGGCTGCTTATTTGATGACCGGCACCTTGCTGCTACTGCAGCGGGGGGCCCGAATGGCCCTTCCCCAAAGCCCCCGGGCACCTGGCACCCTTCAGGCCTTGCCGGTGGCCACTGTAGCACTGGGCATGGGCCTGCTGGACAGCAAAGGCCTCCAGGACTCCCGGATCAGCTCAGACCTCTTGCTCAACGTGGATATGTTGCAGAACCCTCTGGCCCGGCTCCCACCTGGACTCCGCTGGCCCCGGAGAAACCGCAGCTCAGTACGGCGTCGCTGGTTCCACCACTTTGTGAATGATCCACATGGGTCACCCACCCTGGGTCCCGAAGCCCCCAGAGCAGCCGCCCACAGCCGAGGTAGGTGCTCAGGGTGTCTTTGGACACAAGATCCCTACACAAGTTCAGGGATCGGGGTCCCCCTTGTCTGGCTCTGTGGCAGCCTGAAGAAATAAGCCCTGCAGGTTCATGACCTTGACAAATTGAACCTTCTGCTCTGCGGGCCGGGGATGTAAACTGTGGTGGGTTTGTTCACTTCCTGTCTGGAATTCCATAAGATGAGCTGTGTGAGTGGGTCACCTCCAGCTGTAGATTTGGGCTTACACAGACCTGGTTTTGAATACTGGCTTAGCCACATCTTTGCTAGGTGACCTTGGGCATCTCACTTGGTTGCTGTGAAATGCAGATGGAGGCCCATACCCTGTTTTGAGGACTAAATGTGATCGTGTACAGTAGTGGTTACCTCCAGCGACTTACAGTGGTGATAGAAGGGAGTCCAGTAAGAACCAGAGATTATGGTTATATGTAAACAGGACTGACTCTCATCTGCTGTTCAACATCCAGTCTTATCAGGCAGCTAGGAACACTTCCACTCCTGTTTCTAGTTCCTGTTTTAGCCTCTGTGGTGTCTTCCATACTCTCACTGCCTCCCCCGACTTAGGAAAAAGGGTTCACGCCAGGAACCACAGAGTACCCAGGTTCAGTTCTAAATAGTAGCATTTTCTAAAGGTTGCTGCCCTCCATGGGTTGTTAAATATTTGGATATATCCTGAGATTTTGGGAGCAATGTGCTGTCCCTGCAGAACATGAAAAACCTTGTATGGGGAAGGCCCTGCTGTGACCCGGTTGGAGGTCTTCAGGGAAAGTCAGGGTGCTGGCCTAGTTGCCCCCCAGTGGCCCTTGGATCTGGGGTACTGTGCTGGCAGGCAGGCCTCACTGGCAGAGAGTGGCCCAGAAGGCAGCCCTAGTGTAGCCGCTGGAGCTGCAGATAAGCAAGCATCTCTTTGCGGCCTGGGCATCCCGCCACGCTCCTGAAAGGGGATCCTGCAACCCAAGGAAGCTGCAGGAGGCTCCATCAATCACGGAGCATTTCATTATACCTTGGACAACATCCATAATGGAATAAAATGTCAGTAAGTTTACTAGGGGAAAAATAGTAACTTCTCAGTAGCCAGTTTGGTTTTTATTGATAGTAATTTCCAAAGACATTCCAATATCTCCAAAGCCATCGTTAATAGCCTCATGACTTGTCCATTTTGATGTGCAAATGAGCAGATGTGAAGTCACAGACAATAATGCATTGCCTCCATTTCAGGCGAAAGCAATAAATCTGTCTCAGATGTGTCCCGGTGTATCCCTTGAAAGTTCTGTCTTCCCTGGGTATTCTTGCCTGTGTCAGGAAGTTAGGAAAACCATTTGTTATGTCTCGGGATAAAAGAGCTCACCTGCCACTCACAAACCAGAGCAACTATCTGCGTCTCGGGCTCCGGCCACACAGGAAAAGGGACCGGGCGGGGGCTTCCTCTCCACCCTGGCCAGGCGCATGACCGACCAGTCAGTTACTCCTGCCACCGCTGGTACTCACAAGAATCAAGCCTGCCTGCTGGAAACCACTTTTCTCTCCCATATTAATGTGCTAATTATTCAGCTAATATTTACCAATTCCTTGTCACACTGGGTCTCTGGTTAGGATGCAGGACCAGAACGATGTTAGCTGTTTAGCAGAGATGCACATCTGTTGTCTCATTTATCTCATTTTCACACAGCCTCTGGCATAAGTGGTGCTATCACTGTTTTAATGTTTCAGAAAAATAAAAGTAATTGGGATATTTTCATTATTAATCACGCTTTATGAACAGTAAAAATGATTGCTACTGTGTACTTCCTATTCCAAGACTGGTGTTAGACTCTTGATATATGTTCTCCCAACCAGCCCATAGCTTGACACCGTGTTCCTATTTCACAGATGGGAAAACTGAGACTCAAAGATGCAAGCCACACATCCCAGGTTACACAGGTAGCTAGTGATGGAGATACGATTTAAACTCAAGTCTGTCTTTTCCCAGAAGCCGTTTCCATTCTGTAGCCCAGAAATATGTCTTATACCTGCCTCAGACTTGGACAGTTTTGAGCCCAAGCACTCTTAAATTCCCAACTACACTGTTAGATATTTTGGGTGTTTAATTGAAAGCAGAAGTGAACTTTCTTCTTTGCTGAGAAAGACATCAGAAATTTTTCAAAGGGTAGTTTTATTTTATTTACTAAACAGACAGGAGAAAAATACATGCCCACTGCCCTGGGTGAGGTTTCTGCAGTGGTGCATGCTGTGTGCTGTGGTACTGAACCCTATAGGAGAGAAGTTTGCAGGGCCCCAGGACAGGGAAGCGGTCCCAGGGCAAGGAAATAGCAGAGGCTGTGGTCAGTACACTGGGTATGGCCATCTCTCCATGAAGGTAACCCCAGAAGGCTAATAGCTTGGGAAGGAGCCAGACCTTTGAAGAATAGGAAAGAAGGCAGGTGTTTGCTCCTTCCTCAGCTCTGGTCCTCTGATCTGAGGGTCTCTGGGTCCTTCAAATCCTGCATCCTGCAGCCATTTTTACCTTCCTTGGCTGAGCCTCTCTTACATCAGAGCCCTGGGAAGTGCACTCAGGACAGTCAGCAGGTCCTCTCCTCCCTGTGCTGGGCTCTCTGTGCCCATCTGTACACCCACAAGCATCTCAGTGTGGTTCTAGGGAGCTGTGACCCACTGCTCAGTTAGGCGTCGACGTTTGCACTGTCCTTAACTCTGATCAGTCACTGAGGGTCGCCAACTAGGGTGAAGGCAGGCCCAAACCCTGCCCTCCAAGAGGCTGCAGTCATGTTGCAGAGACAAGACACACGAATTTAGAAGGTTTTTAACAGCAACAGTCAATGGCAGGGATGTGGTTGACAAACGAGTTATTCAGACAAAACATACAAGAGTTCAAAGAAAAGAGAGGCAGGAGTGGAGTCAGGGTCTCAGCTATCAGGGCGGGTGGGAAGCACAGAGCAAACGTGAAAAAAGTAAGGGAGGGGTCCAAAGGTGGCGCAGGAGAAATGAGCCGACTTCTGTGGAGGAAACTGAGGCACAGATGGTTGAAGTGAGAGCAAGATAGGAGGGAAGGCAGTGTGGCAGTGCTCACAGATATGAAAACTATGGCCTGCTGCACACCCCAGGAGTGGAAGGACAGGGAACCTACTCCCCGGTGCCCCTCAGCATGTGGCCCGGGGCCTCCCCATTGGCAGGAATAAAAATGATCTTTCCCTGCCTTCAAAGAGCTTGGGGAACACTAGACCATCAGGACTTTCCTCCTCACCAAAGTGCCATGCGGGAGTGACAGGCTGCCTAGAACCTTTGGTGTACCTTCCAAAGACAACTTAATTCCTCTGGAGGCAGGCACACCACAGGTGACATTTCAGAGGCACCGATAGCTGAATGCAGAAGTTCTCGGGGAGATGTGTGACATCTTTATCACAGATGCCCAATCCAGATCTCAGCACAGCTATTGTGGCTTTGCTTTCACAGCTTGGGTACCACGTGGTGGTGTGTTTGCAAATCCCCAAAGCACCATTCCTTCACAGTTCTGATGCATGTGTGACATTTACCTGACTGGTGCTGCGTTTGCGTTTGCTCCCTTTCTCTGAGTTTTCTGTACATCTCCAGGCGGCATTTCTTTCCCTGGGGGAACAGAACAGGGCTGATCAGACTTCTACTGGCCCATCCCTGGTTAGGTCAACGTCACTGCTGCCTTCTGTCATCCCCAGTGTCACTGGTGAGAGACAGGGATGCATTACAGGGTACTGGAGACTGTACAAGGTACAAAGAGACAGCAGAGGGCCCTGTGGGCTCTTGGCCCCATTGATTCCTTTGCAGGACCCTGCCCTACACTCTCACACACTCTGCTTACAGACTCCAACCTCAGATGTCAAATGCCTTTATACACACAGCTCCCCTCTTCTGAAACCTCTTCTTTACATCAGCCACTATCAGCTTTTCCTTGATTATGTCTTCCCATTGGCCCCCATGGAGAATTTTCTTTTGGGACTTTTGGAGAGGCACAGGGACCCTTCTAAGCCTTGGAGGAGGGATGGGGAGGAGACGATGAGGGCCATAGGAGGTCATTAAATTGTCCAATTATTACAAGTAAAATAAAAGTTTTTCTTTACTATTTATGGAGATGGAAATGCTAACTGCCCTGATTGGATCATTGTACACTGTATACATATACTGAGTGTACCCTGTAATGCATACAACGATATAATAATAGTGAATCTAAAAAACCCCAATACAGACATTGGCACTTGGGGAGTGGGGGAAGAAAGCAGCCACCAGGCTGCCACTGGGCTCCTGTCAGTACTGTGCAGGGACAGGGGCCATTAACCGAGAGAAGGGGCATGAAATAGACAAGATAGAGACGGCCACGTGCCTGCTTGACTCCTACACCGAGAGGAAGTTGGACCACAGCCCTCCCCAGCCATGTTTCCCTGAGCGGTGCCTGGGCCAGGGGGGCTGGACAGTCCCTGGCTTTCCCTGAGGGTAAAGCTTCTCCCAGTCCTCTGACAGCCACCTGCCTTCTTACAGGAACCTACATGGGATGCTTCAGTGACGAAGGCCAGGAGAGGACGCTGAAGGGAGCGGTGTTCTATGACCTGAGGAAAATGACGGTTGCCCATTGCCAGGATGCATGCGCTGAGCGGTAAGTGCAGGGCCCCTGCTGCTGACTGCACAGAAATAAAGCAGGATTTAGTCCTCAGCCTACTGACACCTTAACTACAGTCAGCTGTCCATCTGCCCTCAGGGGCCTGGAGGAAGCTCATTGGCAGATGACATGGGCTCTGGGTCAGTGTCAAGTGACCTGAATTCTGATCCAGTTGTTCTAAAGATTTGCTCTTTGGCTTTGCTTCTTTTCCTTCTCTGAGCCTCAGTTCTCTTTGTGTAAAACGAACTAAAGACTTTTATCGGAGACTTTTTTGGAGGCCCTTTCCCCCTATGGCAGGATGAGTATTCCTACCTTGCATTTATAATAAGGTTTGCATTTCCTGATACTGCTGGTTCAGCCGGCAGTTACTAGACATTTGTCAGGTGCCAGGGATCAGGCCTTACCACTGAGGCAGTCACAGTGCAGGCTGTGCTGTGTGGCTGCTGTGTCAGACCGCTGGGCCGGGACCTACTTCAATTTTAAGAGCTGCAGTGAGCTGTGATTGTGGTGAGAGTGTTCCCGCCACAGCAATGGGCAAGTGTCTCCCAGCTCCTACCAGAATCAGTTTCCCAGGCTGCCACTGGTTTCGTCCCTCAAAGCCATTTATATGGGTGGTATCAAAGCTCGGAGCTCACAAGACATACTGGTGTAGCCGAAATGTGTATGACAAAGGAAACACTGGTTCCTGAATTTAGATGACCTTTAAGTCAGGATGAAGTCAGGTTTCTCGAGCATCCTTGTGCTGATGGCTGTGACTCTGGCTGTTCACTCAGACCCGGCTGCATTGCCTGAACTGTCCCTTCCTGTAGGTAGGACCCCAGCCCTTGCTCGGTGCCCAGCTCCAGACTCACCCAGCCTACTCTCCCACAGGTCCTACATGTACGCTGGCTTGGAGGCGGGGGCAGAGTGCTACTGTGGGAACCGGCTGCCAGCTGCGCGCGTTGGACTGAACGAGTGCAATCACGAGTGTAAGGGCGAGAAGGGCGCCATGTGTGGGGCCCTGGGCCGGCTCTCCGTATACCGCGTGGACATGCTGCATCCAAGCGCCAACAAGCGTGAGTGGCCACCTTCTCTGGAGCATTGCATATCCCGGGTGCCCCAGCTGCTCCTGCCCACAGCCTCAAGTGCGTGCTGTGTGAGGCAGAACCATGGGATAGGTCCTTCCTTCCCTATGCTTTCTCTGGACGGGGTCCTGGCAGGCGCGGTGAGCTTAGGGTCCATCGCAAACCCAGTTGTTTCATTTATGACAGGGGCACAACTTTGCTTGTCCCTTAGAGGAGGAACTTGGTAGGAGGCCTGTTGTGCCTCAGACATGCAGTGTGGCCCCAGACAGTTCGTTTCCTCCTCTGCAGTTTAGTTTATTTTGTAAAATGTCACTGGAAAGAACCTAGATTTTCAGCAGTAGGTGGACCTGCGGATCTGAAAGTTCCCTAACTATAAAACACCTAAAAAATAAAAAGCAAAACTAGGTAAGATTTAACCACTATCATTTTTGGGGGGTTAAATTTTCATTAAACCACTATCATTTTTTTTAGTTTTTAAAAATACTTTCCTTTATAGATAAAAATCGTGTAGATGCAGCTTGACATGTGCTAGGCTTAGGTCCTGATAAACACATTACGTGTTAAAAATGTGTCTAATTTGTTGCATCTTACCTGCTGGATTCTTGTTTGGCAATCCTGGACTTGAAACTAGGACTTTGCACCCAGATCCATCTTTGCCACTTTTTAAAAATTTGTTTTTTTAGTAAGTGTTTGCAGTACATAACGACGACATTCACTGTGGGGAGCTGGTATACGTGCACCCCCTTCCATCCCTTGCTTAACTAGAAGGACAGTAAGGCAGTCCCTAGGTCCAGAAATGTAAAAGGAGCCAGGAACCAAGTGGGGAGAGGCAGAAACAAGGCTGTGCCCTGGGTTTTAGTAAAGCGAAGGTGGCAGCTTAGGTGGACTCAGGGCATAGGTTTTAAGGTCTAAGCAAAGCAATCATGCAGGGCTTGGGCCTGGCATCCAGTGGGACCTGGGTAGAAATCTCTGCATAAGGTTTCAATTGAACTCAGTTTTACTGATGTTTAGATATAAAAAAAAAAGCAATAATAAAACACATACATACCAGATAGGGGAGACAGAAAACTTTTCTGTTTTGACTTGAGCTTCACATGAAAAAAAATTTTGTAAGAATTTGTAGCTTATAGTCCAGCATTTGTGTGAGTTTCAAGGTTCAGTGTAAAAGTTGGTTCTGAGGGGTCTGGAGATATCGGGCAGAAGCCATGCAAAATCCCTCTTGAGAGCTGTCCCACTGACCTAGGTGTTAAGGGTTCTCACAGGAAATTCCCATGGAAGATGAGCTTACAGTTCACGATTACAGAACATAGAAGAAAAGAACCTATCATGAGGGAAATAAGTAAAAATGGCAATCAGCAAGAAATTCAGGTGAGAGGGCTGCCAAGTAGAGGACACAAAGGGGTCCAGGTAAGTGAATCTGAAACTCAAGACGGTCCTTACTGTAAGCCAATGAGCCCCAAATCCACTTACTCTGATTACAAAAGGCTCCTGTACGACAACGGGTTGTGCACATTCAGACACCCTGGAAGCCATCTGTCCGATGACGAGACAGAGTGAGAGTAGGACAAAGTGAGACTCCTCTCAAAGAACTGATGCAGACTTCCCCTTCCACTGGCAGGGGTAGGACACCGATGATGGCAGCATCGTGCAGCAGCCAGGCACCTTAGTCATAGACCTGACTACCATTGCTTTGGTTTTACTAAAAAGATTTCAGAGTGTAACCCAGTGAATGAAGTGTCAGAGCAAAAGCTAAGCCTGTGGAGGTATTTCTGGGAAGGCTGCCATAGTAACAAGCAAGTTTTCCAAGCAGTGCCGAAGCCCAGCCCCTGTGCCTATCCTGGCCACTGCAGGGGTCAGAGAACAGGTAGAGCGATTTGGGCCCTGACAGCCTTCGGTGCTCAGGTGCTTCCCGCATTCAGACAGAATGAGCACGGGAGTCAGGAGGCCCAGGTGGAGCAATGAGCGTAATGGGGAGACCCTGACAATTTCTCTAGTGTAAGCGTTTTGCTCATGAGGACTTTCGCTCCCCAGGTTCCACTGCCACCTGTTCCTGGAACCTTGACCTGGCACAGGGTTATCCTGCCATTCACATGGGCATCTGAGGACCACAGGAGAGTTTCCTGAATCTTTCATATCTCTGGGTTCAAACGCTAGCCCCTCCCCTTGCTGCTGACCCCAAGCAGAGTCGGGCCTGAATGTAGATCCTGGGCTGCCCACCAGCCTTCCTGGCCGTTCAGTCCTGGCTGCTCAGTCCCCGACTTTCAGAGACAGTTGTTTTGCCTCCCATGTCCATTGGTGAAGGAACTCATGATTCAGTCATTTAGGTCAGCAGCGGACTTTGAGTCCACCAGACCTGCAGGTCGTAGCTAATGCTGAAAATGGTGTTAGTGCTGCCCTTTAGAATAGGCTGCAGAGCCTTGTATGGTTGACCCTGCCCTCCTGCTCCCTTTTGAAGGGGCCTTGGCTAATGGGATCTCTGTCAAAGGTGACCAGATGACCACTGACTGTAAATTGCAGCTTCTGGCTAGTGGGGTACATTCACAAGGAACAAGACCCATAAGCAGGCACAAGTTTAGAATCAGGTGTCTAGACGGCTCATTAACGCCTTCCCCTCGGCAGTGTAGTTCTGCCCTGGGTAGCCCTCAGGCTCTTACCTGGGGAGTGAGGGAGAAAGCTGTAGAACAGGCCACAGGAGGTGCCATATCAGTGTCATCTAACAGCAGCCTGTGTGACCTCCTCACATGTGACTCACCTGTCACTGCCCATGCAGTTCCCTCCCCCGCTCTCCTTGTTCAGCACTCACTGGACACCCACTGGGTGTCAAGGTCAGCTCTCTCCAGCAAATGCAGGATAATCAGGTGCAGACTGTCCCAGAAACATCGTTCCGGAGCTGTGGAGTGGGGTTACTGGGATGCTGGTCCGTCTCCCGACCCTGTGTCTGTCCTGTCCTACTGACTCTCCCCCGACCTTCTGCCCCTGAGTCTGTCTCTCACCTCACTATTTTCCAGCCCAGTGGCTGGCTGAGTACCCCACCCACCTAGAGGTTGGTTCTTTGAGCCCAGCTGCACCACAGGCCCACGAAGAGTCTTGCAAGCTGGGTGCCATCGCCCTCAGCCTGCACATGGCAATCTGGGGCAGTCTGTCAGGAGACAGTGTGTGAGTGTCCAGTGCCGCTCATAGCATGGTCCTTGCAGGGTGGAGGTAGGAAATGCAGCCTTCAAGTCTATAACACACAGACATTGCAGCCAGTCACAGGTGTGACTGAGTGAGCCCTGCCCTGAGGGCACTAACCCCAGCTGGTTTCTCTGCATCGGGCAGCTTTTCTGAGTCTGCCTTGCCAGTTCTGTGCCCATCTTCAAGATTACTGGTCCCATGGTTGATCAGGATGGGTTCTCAGAGCCAGAGTTTGGTGTTGCTCTGGCAATGTGGCATGGAAGGAGCCCTCTCCCTGCCACATGGCTAAGGCTGGTGAGAGAGTCTTTGCTGCCTGCCACAAAGATTGCCAGCCAGAGAACTGGGGGAACTTTCAAGCTCTAGAAGACCATCTGTGAAAAGGAGTGTGGGATAAGGATCAGCACCTCATCCAGAGAAGTTCTGGGGAGTCTGGAAACTGTAAGCAGTGGGTGCCAGAATATTCCAGAAGGTTTCTTTGGCACCAAGGGAGCCAATGAGAGTCGGGCCTTTCCACCAGAAGATCTAGAGAGCATGTTGTCAGGAAGCTCTCTTCGTGCCATAGATTTGAGGAGTTTTTCTAGAACTCAGGTGGGAGCTCAAGAGCACTGTGAGGCAGTCTTGCCAGGAAGCAGTGCACTGGTCTGCCACCTGACACAGGCAGTCAGCAGGGTTCCAGAGGTTCAGGTCTGCTTTTCTCTTAGTGCATGTTCACAAGTCACCCACTACAGAACCTGGCACCTACTAAATGTGCATGGCAAAGCTATTGAAGGGAAGAAGAGCAGGAGAGAGGGAAAACAGGCAGGTACCAACTCCAGAGAAGGAGAAATAAAACCTGAGCTCAGCCATTCCAACTAGGTGGTCCTCATCAGTGACGCTGGTGACCAACATCCCGATGCATCTCTCCCAGGAGTTCAGTTCACCTGTACACTTTTCCCTCTCTGATTTAAGATCGGCCCTTTTGTGTATTCTTACAACTATCTAGAGGTCCACAGCCAGCATTTTCCCTTGTGACAGATACCAACAACCATGAATACTGTCTCTCACCGGAAACCCATTTCCTTCCCCACAGGCCGGATTGCCACCTACCGCGGGTGCTTCCGACTGCCAGAGAATGTCACACACGCCTTCCCCACCTCCTTGATCCAGGCCAACATGACCGTGGAGATGTGCTCAGGATTTTGTTCCCAGAAAGTAAGACTCATTATGATTTTTCAACTTTTTAATGACCCAGCGTGTGAGGTGGCTTCCAGAGAGGGGGAGGCTCCCAACTTGGGCTGTGCACATCTACCCGGGCAACCTGAGTGGGAGTTGAGGAGTAAAGTGTGGGAGAGAAGCAGGCCATGTACCTGGTGTCACAGGAGGGCTGGCAATTAGCTCGTTGTTAGAGATTGGAGGCTGAGTAGGGAGTTGTCAGTGAAAGTTGTAAAGCTGAAAGTAATGTACCTTTCTGGATGTCAGTTCTTGGCACAAGTGTCAGAAGTTAAATTGACTTGGTTTGGATGCAAGAAGATGCTGGCTGGGGACTTGGGGACAGCTGATGGATTTTCTGTTGTTTGTGCTGACAGCGCTGGGCTGTGAATCTGACTGCAGGGGCCATGGACACACCTGCTCCTTTGGTTCAGCACAGGCCGAGAATAGAGCAACTCTGTGGGGGCTCTGCTGGGCACCAGAGACACTGTCTTATATACAACTCACTTAGAGTTGGTCAAGCACACAGGGGCCCATAGGGGGCAGGGCTAGAAGAGAGAATCGAGGCTGGTGAGACCCTGCAGGCTGTGTCCAGAGATCCCTGAGGGCTTGGACTAGGGTCCAATCAGTTTCCAGCAAGAGAGTGGCTGAGGCTTTACCGATGGCCCTGGGCATCATTAGGCTAAGGCTCAGGACCGCTGTGGCTGTGCTGGGTTCACAAGCCTTAATGGAGCACACAGCACAGCATTTGACAGCATAATCGACCAGATTCCAGAAGAGTGCAAGGCCTTGCTGGTGATTATGATTACGATGATAACGACAGTGACAGTGATGATCACAGAAGCTAACATCTACTGATGGTCTATTCCACGCCAGGTGATATTCTAGGCACTTGCTTGTGCTGACTCATTCACCCTTCCTAGTAACCCTGTGAGATAGGTACTGTGATAATCTGTGTTTTGCAGCTGAGGAAACTGAGAGGGAAAGATTAAGCACTCTGCCTGAGGTCACGGAGGGTGAGAGCTATAACCTGACCTCAGCTAGCTGTACAACCTGCTGGTAAAAGCAGGAGGTGTGCTTCCAAGAGGCAGACATGACACGAACACGTCCATCTCTGGCTGCTCTCCCCATGCACGCTGGAGACTGCCTTCTTCCTGCCTCCTGGTTCCTCAGCCCCTAGGATGTCTACCTACTCCCAGAAAGTGTCCCCCAAGGGTGGAGCGGAGCAAAGCCTTTCACAGTTGCATTCCTTGTGCCCAAGTCTTTGAAGTGGCTCTACTGTATCCTTAGCATTTCCAGAAGCAGTTCCAAGGATGCCTTTGGGTGTCCAAGGTCACAGGACAGAAGGTAGCCAGCCCAGAAGGCAACTCATTGGTTTGTAGATGACTGGCTTGGGAATTTCTTTGCTTTTCAAGCTCCTGGGATCAGGGGTATGGAGGAAGGGGAAAGCGATGGGGATACCTTCTCAGCCACTAGCCCCTGCTTGTGTCCACAAGGGAACACGTAACCCCTCAAGCATCCCTCCCCCTGCAGTTCTCAGAGGTTCTCCAGAGACCTCCCCGCTGAAATCACAGGAGCTCTGCCAGCCAGGAGCAGGCCAAAGCAGGCCTTCCTGCTCAGCAACCTTGGAGAGTCCCTCCATGGCTTTCCATGGGACACTTGCTTTAATCCTCCAGGCTGAGTACGAGAGGAAATGTTCAGATTCCTGTTTGCTGCAGGAGGCAGTTCAGGCTTGCAGTTTGAGAGCATAAACCATAGGCTCCAAGTGACCAGCGTCACAGTCCTGGCTCCTGATACCACCCCTCCTGCTATCGATGTGTGAGGGGGAATCAGCCACACAATGGCCCCTCTGTGCAATAGGAGTAAGTGACAGAGGACATGAGACAAAATGAGGAAAGGGAATGGGCGGTGATGGGGGCTGTGTTCCCCGAGGTCTTCTGAAGAGTTTTGAGTGGCCACTGTGACACATGGAACACAGTACCAAGATGTCCAAGTCTCTCCTCCTCAACCCCCATCCTTGGTGGCAGTGTGCTGTCCTGGCTTTTCCTGTCCACTTTCAGAGACTGGAAACTCAAGCAATTGAGTCCTCCATTCTATTACAAACCTCACAGATGGCAACAAACCACATGCTATTCTGCACTGAACCTATTCTGCCAGACAGTCCACCTCAGATTGTTCCCCTCCATGCAGGAGGTGATTTCTTTTTCTCTTTTCCCATTGTACAGATGTCCTCTAATTTATTTAAGCAGCCATCCACTCTGAAGCACTTAGCTTGTGTCTAGCTTCTGCCTTCACAAACAATGCTGCGATGACTATGATTGGATCATTTTGTGTAAATGTATTTACTTAAAAACAACTCTTAGAAGAGACACTGAGTTAAAGAGAATGTGTCATTGTCATTTCAGTCAACTTTGCCAGTTTGCCCTTGGCAGAGGTTGTGCTAATTTTACACCCCTTCCAGCAGTGTATGAGGGAGAATTTGCCGTGCTTATAATGATTCTTTGGGGAAAGGTAGTTTAAAGCAACTTCTTCGGCAAATGCCCCGGTATTGGGGGGGGGGCGCGCTTCACTTCGGCAGTCCTCTACAATCCTGAGAGTTCTGCCTTGTGGTTACAGACAAGGATTTACAGATTTAAAATATTTCAACTTCTATTTTCAGCCTTCCTTCATATTTACTGGCACAGATCCAGACTGCTGCAATTTCATAGTGGAGTCTATGCCAAGAGACACCCGTGGGCTCTTGGTGTCTTAAGCCATTTTGCACCTTATCACCTTGTCCAACTCCTTTCACAGTACTTTGCAAGGACAAGTTACCTGCTCAGCCTTGGTGTATGGGTCAGACACACATGGAAGGACGCCCAGGTTCTCCGAGCTCACGCTGATGGCCAGCCCCTTGTCCTGACCAGTCTATGTTGCTGGATGGCCAGAGGGTGTGAGAGGGTGTGTGTTTCCTCCCGTGCTATTGTTCCTAGCTGCAGGATTTTGCAGCTGTAGGAACAGTCACCATTTCCAGCTTTCAAGTTGAAACTGGGTCTCAGCAAAGTATATTTAGAGGAATTTGGCCAAACACATCTGCTGATATCTACAGTGGGTAAACTCACGTGCTGGGTACCAGCAGATCCCTGTGCTGGGTGAAAGTCAGCCCCACAAAGAATGTAGTTTGTGACCAGGAAAGGACTGAGACGGGAACTCAGGTGACTAACACATGGCAGAGTAAGGCCAGTGCCTAAACAGGGTGAAAAAGCTTGGACGGAGACTTAGAAGGGAAAGGAACTGCAACTTTTAGGAGCCTTTGGCGCAGTGTTAGCAGGAGTGCATTTTAAGGAGCAGCAGGGCAGGACCAGCCTGGTGGGAAAGCACCCCAGGGTGGCCTAGCAAAGTGCTGCATGTGGCGGTATGAAAGGTGGGGTGGGGACACACTGCAGAGAGCCTTGCGTTTCTGCCTTAAAGTTCAGAATTTCTTTTACAGTGGGAAGCAGGTGGCAGCATATGGTGTAGTAGCGAGAGAGGGCTCTGTCTAGTAGGACACTTTACAGCTGGAGAAGGGATGCACTGGAGCGAGACAAGTAGCAAAGCGGGCGCAGGAGGAAGGAGATCTAAATGATGCCACAGAAACTGAATCCCTGGAGAGGATGTGGGAGAGACACATTCTCTGTGGATCCCTGCTAGAAGTGGCTTCCCTCAGGGTCACCCTCATAGATGCCTTGTCTGCCTCAGAAATCAACTTGTGACCCAGCTCTGGAGTTAAGAGTCCAGGAACAAAAGAATAGTGCCTGGGTGTCACACATCAGATAAAACCACTATCTACACAGCCAGGTTCCCAGGGTGGCCGTCAGTTTTCCCTGGCTTCAACTCGTGGGTGTTGGTAACTTGAACTCGAGCCTTCTGCTCTGTTTCTTGGTGGAAACTTGATGTGGCCCTAAAGCCACATATTTTAACCTTATAAGAGCTGGCTTTGTGGGTTGGAGAATTCTATTTTAGGATCTGTCTTTGCATTGTAGGATATTTGCGATATCCTCCTTAGTCTCTACCCATGAAACACCAGTAACAACTCTACCCTTCTCTGTGACACTGACCAATATACCCCAAAGGGCAAACTTGTCCCTTGTTGAGACCTGCAGCACTAGAAAACCTGCTGGCCAGGAGTGTCCAAGCTGACCCACCTCCCACCCACCGATTCCTGCCTCCAGGCCTGGAAGTCTGGGCATGAGAAGTCAGCCGTAAGTTCACCTGATCTTGTCCTCAGCAGGAAATCATTTGTCCTTTTCTCTGCTGAATGCCAAAGGTCGTAGCAAAGATGCAAATGGGGGCATATAGCTGTGCTTTCCTGTTCTGAAATCCATGTGGTTTCTCTCTGGACAGGCTGGTGATCTTTCCATTACCCAGGAGGCAGCTTTGCCTTACCCTCATTTGGCTGAGAAGCAGCTCGGATGCCCTGGGAGGAGGGAACGGCTCAGTGATGCTGGGGCTATAGACTGGACTGTAATGCAACCATTGAAAATGTTTCCAAAGACTTCGATGAGGGGATATGCTCAAATAAGATTATTCGGTAAGGCGGAGCTAAACCTGAGTGGCCTGCGAGGCCACAGGCTTAACTGCGACTAACTGGGCACCAGGGCTGCTGGGAGATGCAAGAGTTAGAGCTGGGAAGCAGGAAAAGAGGGTATGCTCCCCTGGCTTCACCCCTACTTTTGAGCTACTCTCTAAGGCTTATTTGTGGCCCCAATAAAAGTCTCTAATCTATTTTGTCAGTTAGTGAAAGTGGATTCAGAGAGTTCTGAGAGTTCTGGGAATGCTGAAGGTGAGGGGAGAGGGGAGAAGATTTTGAGGGGAGTATCAACATCTTGATGATCCAGTTCACGGCCAGCAAGAAGGACATAATATGCTGTTAAAGCCCCGTAAAATGGTCTTGTCTAATTTCCAGCAATGCTGTTGAAGATGAAGGGGAACTTCCCCCTCCTCTGTGACTCAACATCCTATGGCCTGTTTGGCTTAGGTGCACA